CTTTGCTATTAATTAATTTTGAAAAGAAATTATAAAATAGTTTATAATATTTGTAATCATAAGAAATTATGATAAAGAGTGATTGTATTTTATATCTTTTTATTGGAATTTGTATTATAATTGTTAATTCACCTTCTACTTTTCCCATCGCCAGAATAGTAACAGTCTTCACGGCCGGTGCAGCCCAGGCAGCTAAATGAAAGTATTGCGAATTGGTTTCAATCGCTTCATGACCCCATTTTAATCCAGCCGCTAGGAACCATGTAAGAGTGAGGATGACCCACCAGATACTCGACGCCATGCCGAAGAAATAGAGAATCATGAAGAGCACAGTGCACAGTTCATGTTTAGTACCCTGAGTGATTGTAGAAGCCGTCTGTAACCGGATACCTGCAGGCGGTGGGAATGGCTCCCTACATGATATGGAATTCCCTGCTGCCCAGCCAATCACATAAACTAATGCCACCATCAGGTAACATACGGACAAGAAAATGATAGGCCTCTCAGGATACCTGTACGAGAAATAAATGTTTAAAATTTGGAAATCTTGAAATTATGGATTTATTTAGATATTTTTCAAAGTCTAATTATACTTTTGTCCATTTATAAGATTTTCTATGAGAGTATTGTTCTTTTTCACAATTCACAATTCAAAAAATATGATTTTCGAGTTATTATTATGAATGAATTAGATAAATAATACACTATCAATCATCAAAAGCAAACTAACATCACAGTCCTTCTACTAATAGCACTTGCGTGTTGTCAACATTTTCAAAGAGATCATTAACACCTTTTAGAAGAACTTTGGCACATCTTGAATTTTGTCATTTCTGTAAATATATAAAAAGAGAGTTTTTTTTATGGAAAACATTTAGTTAAAATAAACTTGTGGATCTAAGTAATTTGAAGAAGAAATTATTTGATTTTTAATTTAGCTGATCAAGATAAAGTTTTCATCTCATTTACAAATATTAAAATTATTAACAACATTGCACGACTTCTTTAATTTAATAATACTTTCATAAAGGCTATACAACAAACTTGAATGTTTGATACATTTCATGAAGATCTTCAAGAAAGTGAGTTTTACCTAAATCTATCAGTATCAATGAGGAATGTCAGGAAAGTGAAGAAGCACGAAGCGGCACAAATAGAGGCCCAAGTGCCAACCCATACCCTGGAAAATCTTCTTTGTCTCTCGGTAAAGAACATTCCGTCGCAGGGTGCTCCACAATCGGGTTCCACCTTGTCTCCCACTTTTAATGAATATCCTAATCCATGAGGAATCTTGAATTGCATTGGACAGACGAAGCCAAAATCCCTGGCACCCATCATAAAATTGTTGCCATTACCAATGCCCTTGCTACCATGAGGCCTTAATCCTTCATTCCAAGTTGGTTGGAACTCCGCCATCGGCATACGAGCAGGAGGAGAGACAGGCACAGGTTCCTGACGTGTGGTGGTCTCGTTGGTGCCTACACAGAGCTCTGTGCCGTCATTCTCTGGCATCTTGGAGCACTCCAGGGCCTCCGGCCACATGAAACCGAAGCTGTTCATCAACTCCTCGCAGCCGGAGCGCGCACTTTCACAGAGCGACCGGCACGGCGGTATCGCTTTCTCGATTATGGTACAAACGGGCGCGTAGACGGTGCACAGAAAGAAACGCAGATCCGGGCTGCACTTCATCTTGACGAGTGGCATGTACTGATGCACTTCTTGGCCGGCGTCCTCTTGTTTCTGATGATTCATTAAATTCGGCATGATTGTCTCATTATATGGGATGTTCATGCAGAGATTGATGGTGATAGGCTCACAGCGGCCGTGATGAGCAAGAGGATCGCCAACCCCGCCGTTCAGGGCAGTGGAGGAGTGCAAGGCAGCGGTGACAGCCACCACGCCGGACAGAAACGCACTGATCATCATCATCCGCAACATCTCTAGCCTCTTCTTTGGGAACAGGCACACACCCCG